GGAGGGCAACTCAAAACCGTTCGTTAAAGCATGGAAACGGTTGTTGGATCTTCGGTCCCTTCGCTGGAAAAGAGAATGGGTGGAGCTTTCCAGATCGGCAGTCGGTAATCGTCACACGTTGAGAGGGGTACCGCCCGTGAGGTCGGCGAGATCAAGCATGATCACAACTGTATCAAGTACAAGTACTGCAATCGTTGCGCACACCTTGCTCGTACCTGTTAATGGTGCTGACGATGCGTTCTAGTGCGAATCGGAGACGTAAGACCAGTCTCGTTTTAATGATCACGTCTTTTTTGCCCCAGCTGCAGCACATCCGCATTTTCATTAGGAGTTCTCCCATAGCCACGAGTGTCGACACATAGTTCGTGCCGTTTTGTTTTTAGAAATTATAACTGTTTACGCAATCAGCCATCAACCCACCAAACACGCCAGAGGCAACGAAATACGTGGGATTTTGTTGACGTCATAGAATTTAGCGACCGCCTGTTCAACAAGGTACGGTTGTTGCCCATTGATAAAATACGATAAATTGTCCAATCAATAAGCGACCTTGAGGAGTGAAACATGATAGGTGAATAAGGCACGAACTGTTGGTCTGGCATATGGGTGCACATGGTGGAGGGGGGGGCAAGAATTATCTAAATAAGTCAGTTCGGATTACAGTGCGTAGTTCGTCGCGTGTGTCTTGTTCAAATTTACTCCGGGACAACATCCGTCTGTCCATTTTCAGAAAATAATCAGTATCAGTATATTTCAGGGATATGCAGGTGGGTTGCCTTGAAGTTCCCTAGTTGTACGCATGTGTCGTAGCAGAAAAGTAGTATCCCAGTTTGTTGGCGAGGCTAATTGACCTGAGGCATGAGGTGGAACATCGTTTTTTTAAGAATAGACATTGAAAAAAACTTGGAATTTTAAGGAGGAAAAAATGTCGCTCTTGTGGTGGAGGGTGGGATCTGTTGAGGGAGTTCAGGAGAAAAAACTTCCGCCCTTGGGGGGAGGGTCTAAAGGGTGGGGAATTACAGCGGTCACAGGGATCATCACCGAGTTCGGAAAATGCTTCCTGATACTTCCTTGCTGATTGCAGGTTTCGCCGACAAGTTTGAAAAAACAGAAATATCCGTCCAGATCTACGACAGTCCGCTGCGGGTCGAACCAAGGGAGAGCGTTTAAGGGGTGCGTGGACTATGGCTGCCAGGTGCGGCTGATGCGATCGCTGACGGGGTCATCACGGAATGCGGACAGTCAAATAGGGAAGCATTGATTTCGTGTTAGTCCAAAGATTGTGCATACGCTTGTGATTATGGGTCTGACCGTTCCAACCCGGGATTTCGGCCGTTGAGCTAAAAACAATGAATTTTAAGCGATTCTGGAATGTTTGTTAGACTACGCTACAGAGAGCTTGTTACTTGTTTGCACGCTATTTCGTTCGGCAGAGTTAATTTTTTTAAAACCACACCTTTCTAAAAAGGCGATTATATATTTAAAAGAAACATTTCCTCAGTCTCTGTGAGTTGAGAAAACATCACAGGAAGGCCGCAGTCTGTAATTGAGATACCACTTACTGTGATGACACTTGTGTTGCGCATATCCTACCATACAGTTATAATTTGTTTTGCATTTGGAGATACTTTTAGTTGCCCTTCGCAAAGGTTCCTAGGATATACAATAGCGGCCGAAGACCATGCAACGCTAATTATGAAATTTGCCTGGACAATTTGGCATA